CTACCCGCCCTACGGAGCCCTCTCTCTCGCTCTGTCGGGTGGGTAGGAGAGAACCCTGGGGAACAAGGTTGAGATTTAACCTGTGATCAGGCATTTTTTTTTTAGGGGAGGGGGAGGGGGGGGAGGGAAAAAAAGAACACTTGATACGTTTACTTCACGAGTGATCTGTCAATCCTTGGACAGTCATTTGTAACTGGAATCTTACTTCAGTGTTGTGCCTTTCTATGAGCAAAGCCAGACACGGGAAGAGTGTCAGTTCCAGGAATGCAACTGGTTTGAAATTTGAAAGTCATACCGTCAACTGTCACTAAGAAGGACACCTCTGGGGGCAGTAGTATTTCTGTCTTAGAGAGGTGTGCGGTTTATTGAGAGTCAACTAATAAGGGGCAAAGAAAGGCAGGGACCAACTATAGGTGTCCATTTTTAGCAATTTAGCCATGTTACAGAGGTTTCTGTTAAGAGAGTTCACTGTACTTGTACTCAGTCTTTTGTTTACACTCAAATTTAAAGGTCACAAAATCTAATCACTATGTACTCACTGTAGTTGCGGCACAATCCCAGCCTGCTCAGCTGTCATTGGTGTCATGGGTGTGAGGGGAGGCATAGGGCTGGGTGTCGGAGGATACAGCCCTCCTGGTAATGATGTCGTTGTCTGCAGGCCTGAAGGACTGGCAGACATGAGACTGCTGTGGGCCTGCAAAAACCAATTCACTATTATCTTTTTTCAAAACTTTTCAGTTATGCAGCTAAACCTCTCCACAATGGCCATTTAGGGGACAGAAGAAAGTGGCCATTGCAGAGAGGTGGCCATGATAGAAAGGTTTTAACACAAGTCAATGTACATGTATCAACTGTCCACCAAAAAAGTGGCCATTATAGTAGAAAGGTGGCAGTTAGCGTTAGTGTTTTGACTGTTTCTTATTCCTAGCAAATGGCCACTTTGCATTATCACATTTTGTATTATAACCACGTTTTCAATTTCTTCTGAGCATTACAGTTCTCCCAAGAGAATCAAAAAACAATCTTTACTCAACTTTGCTTTTGTAGGTGTGGAGGGCATTTTTTAATAAGGACAAGATTACAGGCAGTGCAAAAGTGGCAAAAAAGGTACATTCTTTTAATGTTACTACCAATCTGCAGTCTTTAACAATAGACAGAGAACAACTCGTCAGTAATTGGAAGAATTTAAATTCTCCTCTCTCCATGGTATACCAATGCAAAAGTTATTTTTGATGCAGGTAAAATAGAGTTTGGTATATTCAAACAAATCTTTCATATTCGAATAAACAGTGCATTGAGACATGCTCCTGAAAAAAGCTTTCATTTTATTCTCTTGGATTCAAAGTACGTGCCTTGCATAAACCTCAGAGAACTTATTCAAAACGTAAGTATATTGAGTCGCTTGATTAAAACATCAATGAAGATTCCATCCACGAGGCAAGAACCTCTTTCAGCTGCAAAGAATGATTAACTATGGCTGCTTCATTAAATTAGTCAAACGAAAAAAAAAAAACATTAAAAATCCTTCTCAACAGTCACCTTTTTACAGTCACAGAGTATTCTCGAAATAAAAACTACCAGTAAATGTATCGCGGAGCGAGACAGGTTCGCCCTCTCATCAAACTTTTAAAGCGTGCACTGAACAAAACTAATCCTGGACGACACAAACCTGCACCGCTGATGTTGGCCTGTATCTGTTATCTTCATTCTGGTCTAATCTTTCATCCATTACAGTACCCAAAAGATGCTTTCGACGAACACAAAATGCGGCGAAGATATCAACAACAGACGACTTGTTCCGGTGATCGAAGATTTTATGTCTTCTGCAACTACGACCCCTGTGCTTTGTGGGAGTGACGCCCAGTCCTTTCGCCGTTGCCCGTTCCAGGTTTCTTTCGGCCAATGCAAACGTTGAAATTCTTCAGGTTTGCGGATCGTAAAACGTTGCGTCATTTGCGTAAACTTTTGAAATGAGTGCCTTTACTCACAGGTAGCCCAAGCTCGAAATATGAGCATCGGCGAGCATCGGCATTGTTGCATAACATTCAAAATATAAGGATTTGTATGGGAAAAAAACCTATCGCCTCTGTAACCTACGAAAATGAAAGAATTTCAATAAAAAACAGCTTACCTTACTTAAAATGTGTGTTACATCTCTCCTGTGTGGTACACGGGCCGATTTATGGCCGTTTTATGGGTTTTTATGTAAACGGTTTTCTCTCTATATAAAGGTTTACCAAGGTTGGGCACTCCAGCTTGGTAAACCTTTATATAGAGAGAAAACCGTTTACATAAAAACCCATAAAACGGCCATAAATCGGCCCGTGTACCACACAGGAGAGATGTAACACACATTTTAAGTAAGGTAAGCTGTTTTTTATTGAAATTCTTTCATTTTCGTAGGTTACAGAGGCGATAGGTTTTTTTCCCATACAAATCCTTATATTTTGAATGTTATGCAACAATGCCGATGCTCGCCGATGCTCATATTTCGAGCTTG